AAAGTGAGCCAGTGCTTTATCCTTTGCCACGCTTCTCTGTATTTGTCTAATAAAAGGCGCTTTTAACTTCAGTATGACCCTGGTGATTTGGAGAGGATTGCTATATCACAGGGTTGGCCTGTTTGCAGCAAATTTCTCAGTTTTAGTCAAGTGATCTTCTGCCAATGGTAAAAAGAGAAGTAAGAGCATTATTTGTGTGGTTCACAGGGATAACATCAATATTTATCAGATGTTTAAAAGACCACTAAATATTATTAAAAAATCACAGATTCTTGGATAAACACAGAGTAATCTGTGATGGGAGTCAGCCTGAGCTAGCTGGAGGGGATCTGCACACCCACTTTAAAAGGGAGGCTCCCTTATGCCTGAAGCTGCATTTTGACAGCCTGAAAACACTTAAGATGGAGCAAAATACAAAACTGTGGATTAGTGCTCTCTGGCTGGAATACATCCTGCTCTTGCAAGAGTGGGAGAGCATCTGCTCTTACCCAGCCTCTGAGGATTGGCTCCCCCATTGCCTCCCAGCCCTTCTCTCCCGTTGGGATTCCTGAGGGTTACCTGCTGGCTGTGTGCTGCACTGCTGCCTGTCCCATCCTCAGCTTCACGCTGTTCCTTCTGTGTGTGGGAGAACTCCCCACTCCAGAAAGGGGCCCCCGCATGAGTCTCCGGAATGGCTCAGAGGGGACGTGCGAGCTCCCCTTTCTTCTCCAGCACCCTACTTGATGCAGAAGGCAGTGACAAGAGTGGCAGTAGTATCTGGAACTACATGTAAAATTAACCTACCAGGCTGTATGAAAAGCATCCAAGTTGTTCCATTCTCTGGCATTTCGTGTGGCTGATTTGCTGATGCCAGTGCTACTCCTGCCTGTGCAGGTTGGTCTTGGTGGACGTGCCCTTGACTCCTGTGAGTGCGTTTCTGTTTCGGCGTCACCCCTCCCTGCTTTCAGACTTGGAGCTGTTGCTGCAATACCTCTTGCTGTACAGAGAGCAAATAGTTACTTTAAGATTACCTTTCTTATGACTTTCCCCATCTCTCCCACACAAACTAATGCAGCAGATGTTAGTTTTTGTTTTAACAAAATGGGTGTGGGGGTTGGGGTTTTGCTGTTTTTTTCCAGATGGCTTCAGCATAAAAACTTGGTTTGTTCTTGAAAAGCCTGGAGCTATTTTTAGTGTTTGTGGGTAGTAAAAGTGGCTCCACAGAAGTGCAACTGCACCATAAGGTTGAAATATTTTTTTTTAACTGTCTGGTTCATCTTTGGTCTCAACTGCAGTGCCTGCAAGATAGAGATGTACAGCACAATTAGTAATTTTAAATCTCATTTAGATTGTGTGGGCTGTGCTTCAGATGGCTGTCTCCCCAGCATTTGGGTCTGTGACCTTGCAGTCAAATAAAAAGCTGAAAGACCTTTCAATGACTGCTCAGTTCATTTTTTACATGAGAATTGTCAGCACAGTAGGTTACTCAGTTTTGTTTTGGAGGGGAAGTGGGGTAAAAGTACTCTGAGAGCTGCTAAGGATCTGGACTGTAGCTTTAGTTCTATCTGCATATCTTGCATATCTTGCATGTCTTGAAGGGAAGCTTCTTGATCTGTCACTTGTAGCTATTCAATTTGAATGTTTGCAAGTTTTTTCTTAAATGTTGTGGACTTAATTCCCCAAATTTCAGCTGTTGTCCTCCATGAAGTAGAAATCTGCTTTCTGGAAAAAGATAGTATGGTACAGGAGTAAGATCTGCAGGGTCTTGCTTGCCTTCTGTATAAATTGCTTCCTAATTGCAGCAGCGAGAAAAAAAATTAGATTTCTTTTTAAAGTGTTGAATTTGAAAGGAAGATAGCTTCCTTGCTGAATTGGTTTGTATTATATGCTAGGCAGTGTAAATAATAAAAATTCATAAAAATGAATTCTGCATTATGGGCTGGGGTTTCATATCTGCAAGGAAAAGCATTGTGCCTTCACAATCAACACGGTCTCCCAGTGCACACCCGTATTTTGTAGCTGTGCTTCTTTCTAACAGCATGAGGCTGTTAAGCTTAATAGCAGTGTTGGATAGTTAAGATAGCTTGTATGATGCCTGTAGGGATGGTTGGGTGCTTCTCTTTCTGACTCCTTGGAAGGCAAGAGTTAAATACTGAGATGTGTTGATTTTTTTCAAAACGTTGTTGTGGAATCTAGACCTGGTAGTAATTCAGGAAACACCTGTCTGCGTCAGGAAATAATGTGACTTTCTCTTAAATTCATTTTAGTTATCTTCTAGCAAAATTCAACTCTTTCCTTTCTCTCTCCTAAAGTAAAAGCTATTTGCAGCCTCTGCCCCAAATGGCAGAAGCAAATATTGATTCCAGATGAGTGCTGTTAGGATATCAAGATGCTTGGAAGTGTGAAGTATCTCACTGTTTCTTACTAATCTGTCCATGCAGGATGATGACCGGGGACTACAGAGTAGATGGGACTAAATAAACCTTTGCTGCCACAGCTCTCCTCCTGCCACTGCAGTTGCATGACTAAAGCAAGGCAGAATAGCAGAGCTGTGGGAGGAGAGATGTGGCCGTGTGGTCAAAAGTTGCCGCTCTGAAAACATGATGCTTTGCATCTTTAATGTTAAGGTCAGGGAGTCTCTTACGATTCTTGAAGTCCCTTCCCCACCACTGGGGAAAATGCATAGGGTAGTTCCCTGTACACAGTGAGGTTTTTCTGTTGTTGTCAATATGAGGCCACTTTAGAGTAACTTTTTCTGATTCTCTCTTAGTGTATATCTTGAAAGAAAGGAAGTTTCTTGGTCTGTCACTTGTAGCCATCTGATTTGGATTTTTTCTTTTTTCTCAAGGTTGTCTTTTTTGATTGTGTATGAGGTTTGGGATTAAAAAGAGGTCCATTTCAGCAAGTTTGATCCTGCCCTGGGCATTTATGGTTTTGTGGTTTAGGTTGTGCTGCTAGATGTATTGTTTTTGTAAAGATTGAAAATGGGTTGAGTGTGTTCTGGAAAAAGTTAATTATATATACTTTTAGACTCAGATCCTTCGTTAGAAGGAACGATTCAACCTCAGGAAACAGGTAACTGCTTTTTTGCCCTGTGGCTTTATGTTAGTGCTTGTGTTGGAGTAATATGAGTAGCTGCAGTTCATTTACAAGAGATTGAGTCATTATTAGAAGAATTTCATCTACGCAATAGAAGGTATCAGCTTGGTTTGCATGTTACTTGTTTGTGTGATGCTACAGCAGTTGGTGTGTCAGCTTGTAGATAACTCAGCAGCAGCAGCAGTTCTTTACCTCAAACGCTTCCATGAGGAAGCTTTAAATAAACTTCAAAGATGCATGCTGGACTTAAGAGTGTACCCAGAGAGGCTTCCTTCAGGATTGAGACCCAAAGGTCCTTTTTGTTCTCATATGTGTATTCAGTACTTTGCAGCTGTTCCCTTTTATTATTTCTAGACACATTTTTCAACAGAGCCCTCAGTGAGCTTATACCCTAGATGCACATGCCAGATTTACTCTGGCAATCTTGAGCATTTTTCGTTCTCAAGAGGTAAATGCAGTATAAGCAGGAAATCTTTGTAGTCTACAACACAAAATCGAATTTAAGAGTTGTTAGGGCAGGATGGTTTCTTTGTGGTTTTGTTTTGTTCATGTGGGTTTAGTTCTAAAGTGATACGATGCTGGAATGCTTGCTGGTTTTCATATGGCAGCCTGTCAAAAGAAATGCTGTCAAGTGCTTAAAATAACCAGCAGTCCCATATTGGTTTGCTCTCATTTGCATAAATAAAAATAAGAAGTAAATTATTGAACTCTTTTACATTTTCTGCTTTTTTCTGCTTCTAGACCACACTGAACAGTTTAGCTTTGGGTTTTTAGAGTAATGAACCAATGTTCAGGTTGCAGACGCAGGAGGGAACAGCTCTATGTTCAAGCAGTCCACGCTTAATGTATTGATGAACTGGTTTATGCATGTATTTTGCTTTAGTATAAAAACATGAAAACTTCAGAGTCTCGATCTACACAAATTTTCCCGCATATCTTTTGAATAGATGCAGGTGGGCTTTTTTGTTTGCGTAAACTATGCATAAATCCTCTAAAAGGCAAAATTCTTTTTTTGTTACAAATTCTAAACTAACTTTCATGCTTGAAAATAGAGTTCCATTTAATTGACCGTTAATTTTTTAGGAGTCAGTCATTTGGTTTGTGTTAGGAAAATGATGACATAACTTGAACCTAGAAGTTTTACTTGTGGCACTGTATTACACTGAATTAAGTTGTTCAGAGAAAGCTTAGTATTTCAAGCTGACAGGTTTTGTGAAGTGTTTTAGGCAATTGTCTCGTGTGTGCTGCATCTTGTTACAAATGGGATGTTGTGGGATAACAAGACTCTGGTTGGGTTTGTTTTTTGGTGGGTTTTTTTTTTTTTTTTTTTTTTTTTTGAGAAGTGACATTCATAAAAAGATATCTTGCTTAAATTAATCTTAAAAACACCAGGCTTTTGCATGTTGCTTCCTGCTTAATTTTGTAGGAAGGCTCAAAGTTAATAGCACATGCCTTCTGTTCTTACAGCTTCATTCCGTCATTTACTAGAATGTCTTCTCATTGCATTCTAAAATGAAAATAATTTATAGTTAACTGTAAAAGATGTGGTTTGAAAAGGAGTGGTTGGATTGTTTGGGTTTTTTTCCCCACAGAGTGAGTCATAGTGTGACTTGGTACTGCATGCTTTAACATCAAGTATGTCCTCGTAATTATATTACATTATTATTACTGACCTATATTTGGTACAAAAATAGAAAAATAAATGTTCACTGTCTTGATAACTAGTCCTGTTGGGGTGGAACTGAGCTGATTTGTTTACCTGGTCAATTATCTGTTAGTATATGTAAATACTAACTTGTGTTCCCCCCTTTGTTTGCACATTAGGACTGCATCAGGTGTTTAGGATTTAAATGAAACCTTTGTATCTTTTTGCTTACCATTTTCATGTTTATTTTTTCATCTCTCCCCCTCCCCCCCCCCAGATACAAATAGTCCATCTGGAAAGGAAGGAAAGCCTATAGAAAATGGAGTCCTTGTGAATGAAGCCCCTGGGAAGTTGATGCATAGGTGTGTAGTCTCTCTTTTTCTTGCCCGCCCCCCGCTTACTCAGTCGTGGACAAATAGTGGTTTGGTGTTTATGGTATTTGTTAGAGGAAAATGCATTGTGCTGGATCCAGGAGCCTGAGAGAGGCGAGGCTGCTGCTGCTCCATGGCTCCAGGTCCGACAGTAGCAAGGCTGAAGATGTACTCCCAGCAGGCAGGCACGCGCACATAGAGCGTGCATACACACCACGTGTGTGCATGGCCGGCCACACAGTAGCAAGGCTGAAGATGTACTCCCAGCAGGCAGGCACACGCACATAGAGCGTGCATACACACCACGTGTATACGTGGCCAGCCACGCAGATCACGGACACTTAGAGCATCCACACAAACACAGCACCAAATGGCCTCGTCCTGTTCCCATCTATGGCTGAGCAGGATGGAGGTTCATTAGTGAGAATACGTGTGTATGTACAGGGTGGGTCCCTCTACTAGCAGGGCTCAGACACTCAGCTGCCCAATAGCTGCCCCCGGATCCCAGTCTCCCCAGTTGCTGGCACCTGGGCGTGTGAACCTCTGAGGCTGCAGCCCCGCTCCAGTTGCTGGTACAGACTGTGGTGCATGCGTGGCTGCACACACAGAGTTCTTGTGCTATTCTTCTTTCTGTGTGAAGAAACGGTTGTGTTGTAGCAAGATACCATGGGTTTGGCTCACATAAAAGGGACAGTATTGTATTGACTAGTCCAGCTTTCGTATGCTTTCCCAAAGCTTCTGCAGTTGACTGCTGTCAGATGGGATGAAGTGCTAAGTGGACCATTAGTCTGACCTAGTACAGCTGCTGTTATGCTCAAGAGAGGCCAAAAGCAATCACTCTGATTATATCTTCCCCAAATCAGTCTCATAGTCTATGCCTTATTCTTATGGTGCTCTAGAGATACTATATTTCTGGAAGCTAATGAGTGCCTGGCAGTACAATGGCACATTTTGATGCCAGTGTGGGCACCCTTTTTGCACTTCAGCAGCTGCACTGTATATGATGATAGGGTTTGTAACGGCTGATGTTGATGATCACCAGGCATTTTTCTTTCTGGAGTTTGATTGCTCAACCAAAACTTCTTTGCCTGGCTGGCCTGTTACTTGTATCTGAAGATGGATACTTGAGAACTGAATGCCATCAGGGAGGATCAGGAGTGCACTGTGAGGGGAGGAGGGAAGCGCTAGTAACCACTGGCCTGACGATGGCTGGTTAGGAGATTGATTATCAGCAGAATAATGTAAGCCACTCACTTGGAGACATGGACTGTTGAAGTCTATTTATGAAGTAAACACCTGGCCTGCATCATGCTAAGACTGAAAAATAAATGTCTTCAAACAGGCAACTCAGTAACTCCTCAACATACAGCAGAGACACTGGGAAGTCACAGCACCAGAGCAGCACAGCAGAGCTGCAGAAGCCGCTTGCTGAAAAGAATTCCTGGAAGCTGACAGAGGCCGACACAGCAAAGACTGGGAGGGTAAGCTCTCCCGTTCCTGCTTCCTGCACTCTTTCAGTTTCAGAAAAATCCCCAGGGTTCAGAAGAAAATAGCTTCCAAAGACTATGTAACTGGGGTGAGAAAGGTCTGAGTGCATTCTTGGACTTGCTGCTTGTTGTGTACTACTTCATGGAAGTGTTGCTCCCAAAGCTGAGCCCCACGTTGGTGTGCAGGAGGAGTGCTGATACCAAACCTTTTGTTTAAGACGATGGGCCTTGACCACATCAAAGTTTAAAAGAAGAAATGAAAACCTTGTGGCTATTCCTTGGAGAGAGGTTGTGACAAGTTAGGTGACCTAATCAAATCTGCCCTTCGGCAAAAGGAGCTGGCACTGACTCGGATGAATTCAAGCCAGATTTCCACTGTAGACACAAGTATCTAATTCCAGGATACCCAGGGCTTTCTGAGAAACCTGAGAGCGAAGTTCCTGGGAAAATGACACTTACACCTCCTAGCAGTGTTGCTTGAATCCTCTGGTTAAACATAGATCATAGGATACAAGCCATGTGGAGCAGGGATTTAATTAAAGGCTATATAATCTTGTGGTAAAAAGAGAGAGCCAAAACCTGGAACTCCTCAGTGAAGTTTTTTGGCTCTGCCACTGATGCTCTGTGTTACTTCAGGCATCCCTCTCCCTTCTCCTCCCTTCCCTTGGAAGACAAGGGAAAGATGATGTGTGCCTGCCCTGGAGGGATGTCGGGTTTGGCACATCTCCACAGAACGCTTTGCAGCTTGTGTTCCCAAGCAGTGGCTCTCTGGAGTGCGACTGTTGTGTTTTTATGGCCTGATGCAGGGATACTGATTTTAAATACGGGTTGAAGAAGGGGGAACTGCTGGTTTTGAAATTTAATCTGCAAAATGAATATTTTTTTTTTTTTCCCTTCTGTCTTCAGGTAAAGGCAACAGTGTACTGGGACTACATGAAAGCAATTGGACTCTTTATCTCTTTCTTGAGCATTTTCCTCTTTATGTGTAATCATATAGCCTCCCTGGCTTCCAACTACTGGCTAAGTTTATGGACAGATGATCCTGTTATCAACGGGACACAGCAGTACACAAATGTCAGACTGGGAGTGTATGGAGCACTGGGAATTTCTCAAGGTTTGTTTGGTCTTACCTGTTTTAAGATTAGCTGGTTCAGAATGTTTCTAATGCTCTTGGTGACCTTGTATCCCCAGAACTACAGCAGCAGTTTGCTAAGGATTTGAGTGTGGGGTTTTTTTTTCTTCCTTCATAGAAAGTTGAAAAACTTGAGTGAATTTAAAAAAAAGAGGCAAGCAAACCAACGTATAAAATTATTCAGTTAGTGAATATGGTTTTCTTTCGTTTGTACAAAACAAGAATGAAAGTGGTTTGCAGGGGCTGATGAGCCAGCAGTTGGTGGCAAAATGTCTGACCCAGGAAATGGCTCCTTGGCCTGTAAACGAACCATGCTGGCCTGGTTCACAGGGACAGTTTCTCACAGGAGGCCATGGCTACACTGCATCCCTTGCAGCCACGGCCTGGCTGAGCTGTGTAGGCTGGTGGTTCATCTGACTATTTGAGGGTCCATCCAAGGTACCACAGGGAGGCCAGCTCAGTGGCTTTTTATGTGTCCTCTTTGTAGTCAAAGTTTGTTTGCCATGAAACCTAACACCCCAAGCACACCACTTCAGAATTGCCATAAAAATCCTGCAATAAAAACTAAATGCTACCTTAAAATTCAGTGGTCTTTACTCAAGGAAAGTGCTCAAGTATTACACAAAATTTTGTAATGGAGAAACAGCTTCTTCCATGAGAGAAATGTGGTGTTTTCACTGATTATTTTTATTTTTAATTACTTGGAGGAATTGCTGAGTCTACCTGTAGTGAACCCTAGTTCTCAGGATTATTGTACTAGAGAGGTGCTAATGCTAAGTGATGACAAAATGAAGGAAAAATTTTTGTGTGAGAGGTGGAAGCAGTTAAAAACAAATCTTCTTTTCTAGGTATTGCGGTGTTTGGCTACTCGATGGTTGTGTCAATAGGGGGAATATTTGCTTCACGACACCTGCACCTTAACCTGCTGCACAATGTCCTCAGGTCTCCAATGAGTTTCTTTGAACGTACACCCAGTGGAAATCTGGTGAACCGTTTCTCTAAGGAGATAGATACTATTGACTCCACCATTCCACCAATCATCAAAATGTTCATGGGCTCGACATTTAATGTGATTGGCGCTTGTATCATCATTCTGCTGGCCACACCTATAGCTGCCGTCATTATTCCACCTCTGGGACTGGTCTACTTGTTTGTGCAGGTAGGAGGGTTTACCTGGGAGCACTAGGACCAGCAGTCACTCATCCTCTGTTACTTAAGACAGTTCTGGACTGGAATGGATTTTAATGTGTTTGACTTGAGTCATGCTTGACTGAAAGTGCTTTGCGTGCTTTATTGATTAGCTGACATTAGCAGGGCATTTCCTTCCATTGTCAAGCATAGAATGACTTCTGTGCCGAAGGTGGTCCTTTAATACCTAAGCAGACTTTATAAAAATGCCATTAGATTTTGAGGCAAATTTTGTATAGCTTGTTGCTCAGAGCCAAAATATGGAAAATGTATGGGCTTTTCTAAAACTTGCTTCCAAACAAAAGAGTAGCCTTTAGAGGGGTATGTATGCATTGCTGATGTGCCTGTTTCGTCAGAATATTGTTTACAGAGCAAGAGAAACAATGGCAGCCTTTCACTCCTGTCCTGTGTAGGCAGGGTGTGCTTGCTTCACTCTTGCTTTACTCTTAGAAATCTAGTAGAGCCAGTACAGATCAGAGAGAAGCAGCTGGGTTTTGACTTTCATTCTTGAATTAGTGAATCTATCCGGCTCCATTAGTTAACCTTAAAGTCGGTGATGTGTGTGTTTTATACTGTTGAACTAAGCTTGCAGAGAAGAGAAAGAGGAGAAAATGGCTATTGCATGAGATGGTTTGACTGGCAGTTGTTTAAAGACAGAAGAGTGTATGTAATGGTCTTTTTAGGCCTAAAAGTGTTGGAGAAGGCATGTATTCCCATGTGTAAGTTGAATCTCTGTAACAGCCCAAATGGCAGGGAACTCTCTTTCTTACAGTTCCCTTTGTCTTTTCAGACACAGTCGGGATGTAACCGTAATTCTCATATTCTGATTTGCAGAGATTTTATGTGGCCACTTCTCGCCAGCTCAAACGCCTTGAGTCTGTCAGTCGTTCTCCTGTGTATTCTCACTTCAATGAGACCCTCCTGGGAGTCAGTGTCATTCGAGCCTTTGAGGAGCAGAAACGTTTCATAAAGCAGAACGACATGAAAGTGGATCAAAATCAGAAAGCTTATTATCCAAGCATAGTTGCAAACAGGTAACATTGGGGTTGAAATATTGAAAGGCAGCTACATAGGGAGGACATGGTTCTGCTGCCTGTGCTCCTTATCAATCACAGCTCTCAGCGTACTTGTCCAGGGTAGGGAAGCCTGTGTGGATATATCTGTTTCACAGATGTTTTGCTTAAACTTCTGTGATGGAATTAAGATTACTTCTGAATTTCTTTTCTTTCTGAGAGTTCCTGCCTTACTTCTGGGTGATATTTTTTAAAAAGTTTTGATTCATTGATCCCAATGTTAACCGCAACTGCTTTCTGAACTAAGACAGGAATTTATGCACTTGAAAGGTTTATTAATTTTGGATGCCTCTAGGTTTGCATGCTGCTGGAGCAGAACCTCAAATATCTTGCAGTTCCTGTGTCACTGGCAGTACGCAGATGCCATATTACTAATCTTTTCAAAAACAAGATGTGTGACAGAACATTGGTTGGCCACATTCCTAATTCTCTGTGGGTGAATTACCTGAAAGATGCATTACATTTTTCTGTCTTCCAGGTGGCTGGCTGTCCGTCTGGAGTATGTGGGGAACTGTATTGTCCTCTTCGCAGCATTGTTTGCGGTGATTGCACGCAACAAGCTCAGCGCAGGACTGGTTGGCCTCTCCGTGTCCTACTCACTGCAGGTAATTTTACCTTTTTTAAAACCAAACAAAGGAAAAAAGCTCTCTGTTGTAAGACTGCATCAGAAAGTCACAACCTTGCTATGACTTTGGAGGGAAAACTAATATAAGGAACATAGTAAGAGAATAATAACTACAAATAGCATCTGGAGAGATGCTGGGAGGTTCCTTCTGTGCCTTGCCTGTGTGAGGGGATGTGGCTAAGACGACTCATCCCCTGCATATTAAAGGTATCTGGACTTTTCTCCTGTTCAGCACTGATTAGCCAAGGTCTTGTCTAAGATTATGCATTCCATGAACTTGCAGCGCTTTGGTTGTTTCATGTTTTTTATTTACTGCAGGTAACATAGTGTAAACTGCTTCTGGTCATCTTTTCTTCTTGCAGATTACAGCGTACTTGAACTGGCTAGTTCGCATGTCATCAGAGCTGGAAACCAACATTGTTGCTGTTGAAAGAGTCAAAGAATATGCTGAAATGGAGAAGGAGGTACACTGAGTTGCCCACCACACCTGTAGAAGTCAGTGCCCTGTTCTGAGGTCTCACCCACAGCCTGGCTGCATGGGTTGGAGAGTGCAGCTGGGCACGTCCTCCGAGCTGAGGGACGGGATGGAGCGTAGGGCTGTCAGTGCCTTCCCTCTAGGGACAGCCTGCATGTTAGCGGGTAGTTCCTGTGGGTGCTTTTGAGGTGTGTCCACTGGGACTTACACAGTGTTATTTAGGAAGTGTGCTGTTCTGCCCTGGGCTAAGCAGTGGAGCTGTACGAATGTTTTGGTTTCCTAAGTGCTTAAACATTACTTTTTTTCTTTGTGTTTCTCTTCTTGCTCTCAGTGTGGGGAGTAAAGAGGTTTTACTTTTTTTGTTTTGATTCAAATCGCCTAACAACTCATTTCTGCAGTTGTGCCCCTTTTGGCTACAGAACAGAGCTCCCCCTGGCTTCTCTTTGCCATGCCTGTCACTTGAACCTGAGTTGAGTCACCATTTTTGCAGCCAGACCTTATGAGGACTCTTCCTAGAATTTTTTTCTCAGGTTCTGGTAGCAGACCAATGTTTATACAGTTAAAAGCCTTTTTGTTTGGCACTGGCAGTGAACGCAGTGGGGGGTGTTCTTTCCTCTCCCACCTCTGTGGGAGGCTAAGGTAGCAGCTGTTTACCAGCTTGTTCATCTTTTAGTGCTTATGTCTCAGTTAAACTGCTTCGGGTTGCATGTCTGGCTTCCCCAGTGGTTTCCTTACTGTGGTGGGAGTGTACAAGCAGGTTATGTGAATGTGTGCTGCCTTTGTGATTCTGCTGTTTGTAAGAGGAAAGTTTATCCAGCAAGATTTGTGATAGCAAAGCCTTTGGCTACATATACCACTTCATCTGCCTTGAGGCAGCTTTTTCCCTCTCTTCCCATCATCATCACAGTTCCTTTTGTGAATTACACACTAACAAGTATTTCTCTTAATTGCTTTCCTCGAGTCCTCTGAGCCCATGTCCGGTTGAATAAGGAACTGATCAGATATGTTTGTGTGGTTCTTTCAGGCTGAATGGAGTATTGAGCAAACTGCCCCAGCGAGTACCTGGCCCGAGGAAGGAAAGGTTGAGTTTCGAGGCTATGGTCTACGTTACCGGGAAGACTTGGATTTAGTTCTGAAAAACATAAATATTACCATAAATGGGGGTGAGAAGGTAATGAATCTGATTTTATAGTAGAGTGTTTATAAATCTGCATGCGTAAGCCAAAGAGAGGTCTAACCCTGTTCTGTAGTGTGCCTTGGATCTTTAGGAACTAGAAGAGCTTCTGTAGAATCAGTCTTATTGTAACTGGCAGATGTAGTGGGCTCTTACCCTTTTCGAGGTGTGTCCTACATCATCGGATAAAGATATGCTATTATGTGGGCTTGTGAAGTATCTTTTGGTCTGGTTTCATAAGGAAGTGAGGTTTGTGCTGTCTTCTCTCCCCTTCCTGGGAAATTTTGTTACTTTATTTGCTGTAAGCAAAGAGGAGTACAGGTTGCAGAGAGATTGAGTTAATTATAGTCTCAAGAAAATGAGCTGCTAAGTAGAGGGGGGAAGCCCTGATCTAGCGAGGCAGAAGTTGCAAGGTGAGACTCTGCAGGAAAAAATGAGACTTGAGAGTAGATTATCTGGATCTGGCCAAACTGATGGTAATATGTGTGTGTGTCTCCTACTGCTTCCTCGCACGTGTGCTCACGCATCCCACCCCAGTCCTATGTGGATTCTCTAATGTCTAGTAATCATGTGATCTTGCACGGCAGCATAAAAGGTAGCTGCAAGACAGATCTACTATCCGGCTTCCTTATTTGTGGTATCCAGCGAGGCATTTGCTTTTTTCCTGAGTGCACCCTTTCTACCTACAAATATGGGCAGATGTATACAACCTCAAGAGTGGTTAGAAAGGGCAGATGGCAAGAGATATTGACCAACCAAAATAGCAGTCTTTTTTACTTATTTAAAAAAAAGAAAAGAATTGGTGAAGACTTCAGTCTAACTGGGAAGCAAAACATAACAGTATGAAACTGAGCACTTTTGGTATATTTTTGCTATAAATTCAAAGATGATAAATGTCAAGTCAGCAATTATAACTGTGAAGCATGAACCAAACAAAGGATTAGGGAAACCTTGGGCTGCTCTACTGAATTCCATCTGCCTTTCTAGGAGAATCGAAAACTTCTGTGACTAGATTGCAAATTTTGACTGCTTTTTGTTCTTGTTATTTTGTATCCAGTGATTTTTCTTCCCCTTTGATCAGCCTCAATTTCTTATGCTGTTTTGGGGTGTTGATAGCCCAGAAAATATGACAACCTTCTGAAAACTGCCAGTTTGTCGTGGTTTAGCCCCAGCCAGCAAC